GATCTCACACAGAATCTCTGGGTAAAAAATTAGCTTATGCACACTGTCCGCCTCCCATTGTGACATCGGCCAAGGAAACATTGACTGAATAGCCGTGGGCTTGAAATGAGTTTGTCAAATTGTAGTTTTCTCCCTCTGTTTAAAGCTGTTGGAGAGTCTCTATGTTGGAAGTCTTGCCTAAATTGTATAGAATGTGTATCGTGTACACGTAGGTGTCACACACATGCCTCTCACATGTGCGTGTGCATTACATGTGTGCCTCACACGTGTACCTATACATCACACACGTGTGTCCTTCACATGCATGACACGTGCTCCATTGCGGCGCCTGTATGCATGTGCGTCATGTATGTGTGTGTGTGTGTGTGTGTGTGTGCATGTGTGTGCATGTGTTTAGGAGCACAAACTGAAGAGCAAGTACAAGTTGAGGAGAGCCCGAGAGCCTCAGAACACGGTCCCCGTCTCCTGAGAAGTGCGATGCTGGTTAGCGTGAAGAAAACAACTGAGCCTTGGTTGTGTTGTAGGAGATCCATTTGGGTTCCTTGTTAAAAATGTCATCCCCTTGAGAAAAACATCAGCCGTGAACACATTCCTTTACCTGGGGACAGGAACACTCCCGGAACTGATACCCCAGCCACCTGGGGGTGCAGAGGAAGCGCTGCCCGGTGGGAACGGCACTGCTGCCCCTTTGCTGTACCTGGGGGGCTGACAGGTAGTCCCAGAGGGCTGACTGTGGGCCTTGCTCTCTTGAGACTGCTAATTTTCCTTCAAGGGCCCTGTACTGGACTTTGTAATCTATTCTTTGTAAGGGCGCAGGACAACCGTCTGCCTCTGTGCCCAGGGCTAGAACAGTCTTATCTGGTCGACTCCGGCAGCCCCTAGGGCTGGGCTCGCCCCTGGCCCCCTTTCTCTCCTCAGCGACTCCCACTGCGAAGGGGCCTTCTCTACGCCTTAGGCAATTGGAGGTCCCTGTCGCTGAGTACTTGGAGTGGACGAGGCCGTGGGAGCCGCTTCCGATTCCTTTGTAAGTGGGCCTTGTGTCGCGTTCCTTGACAGCCTTCTCTAAAGGACAGCGCGATTTCATCTGCAACCAGCACATTCTTTTCCTGCTTCCCACCCTACCAGGCTCGGAAACGGAAAAGAGCCACCTCTCCCCACCGGACGCCAACATCCACGCCAAGAAGTGTCCTTTTCTCCCGCTGGCCTGTCCCTTTGATAATGCCAGGAGAGAGAGATGAAAAGTAAAACTCCCTCCCCACCCACCTGAAGCGGAGTCTGTGTGTTCAGCTCTGTCGTGCCTGAAAGCTTTGTCCAACAGGAGGCAGATGCTCCCTGAGCTGGGTGATCAGCCGCAGCATTTCATTTTAATGATATCACGCTCACTTTTAATCTTAGGAGAATCAACACGGCTTTAGAGTCTGCTTGGTTAAGTCTTGGTTAAGATTTAGCTCTGTTTTTAAGCATAGTCCAAATACACACAACCTGGACATCTAAAGGAGAAAAGTAGATTATCCACCTGTGTTCAGTCACTGCTGAGTGAAGGGAAAGGGTGGGTCATCCTTGAGAGTGTGTCGGGGGGCGTGAGAGGTGTGAAATCTTGTCCTTGAGATGTCATTCTCAACCCTAACGTCCCCCCGAATAGGGTAACAACGGCTACCGAAGCTTTTCAGCTGTAAGTAGAATACAGTCCCTGGAGCCCACTTTCTAGATGAGCTGCTGGAAAAAATGAGAGACTCTACCTGTGGGAATGTTCCCAGAAATTCGGATATTAGAAGGAAAACAAGCTCTTAGGTAAAGATTTTCTCTGATAGAGCATTTGGTGGGGAAATTCAGTGTTTTCGAATCTGGCAAAAAACATAGATGAGACAAGTGATTGATTGTAAGTCATCACTTACAAGAGCAACTGCTTGGCTTGGCAGCTCTTGTGATTCTTAGGATGATACGCATTTCGGAAACACTAATCAGACCTTCCCGACCACCTAGGGAAACTCTCGATGGTTCTCTTGCCACCTTTCTTCAGCAAAGCCAAAGTTCATGCGTGCCTTCATCTGTACTCACTGTCTTCTTTGAATAGTCACCTTTGGAGCTGATTAGGAACAATGTATCTTGACAGCCCTTTACTTCCTCCTATCCTCCTGATCAGGCACTGAGCTCCTGATCCCGGGCAGCTGGGCATGCAAGCCTTGCAGGCAACACTTGTATCCTGTCTTGGAGAGAAGGTTACATTTGTCTAAGCAAATAGACTCCAGTTCACTGCCAGCTCTGGAAGCCCTGTCCAGCAGCTCACATTTTCCTTTCTGCATGCCCTGTCACCATCCAGTGTCCTTCCGTCTTCCAGACTGCTCCAAGGTATGACGTGAACACCACCGAAGTTTCGTCTCCACGTCCAATGTTACCCAACTCTCTGTGTTGCTGAAACACAAGCTAGCATCATTCAACACAGGCTGCAACGTCATATCATTTTTCCCAAGACCTTTCTCACGAAGTCCACTTAGGTTTAATCAGTACTGAACTACCCCTGCGAACGGAAGGTCGGTAGTAGCTTGTGTAACCCAAAACGATCAGATGTCCTAAAATCAATGGGTGTGTTACTTTTTATTCTCTTCCAGAAGATTTATCTTCACAATGAAATGCTGAGTAGAGGCTAAGATTAAATTTTTGAATTAAAATTGCATTAACCTTTAAATTCAAATGTTCATTCCCTTTTTTTTTTTAGATCAAAGAAAACAACCAGAGCTTACCATCCTTGAAATAGATATTTCAAAAAGTCAAGAGTACCTTTCCATATGGTAGAAAGCTAACTGCTTATTTGGATGGAATTAGAACATCAATTTTAGGCTTAGAATGATTTTCCAGCCAATGAGTACCCACCCGCTGGGTATGCATTTCCTTTTGTGGTATAGATGGCTACTTTGGAACCCAGCCTCTTTGGAGGCAGTTTCTCTGGTCGCAGGGGCATGGGTACTGTAGAATTAGTCTTACCTGCCTTGAAATTATCTCTACCCATTCGTAGTCCCTTAGAATCATTCCCCTAAGTAAATGTCAGCATTTACTCAAAGATCCTGGAACATCTCATATCACAGTAATCGTAAAGTGGTGTCTAAAGTATTTCCTTCTGAATCTTTGCTTCTTTTCATTTTATTTTTTAAAAAGAGGCCATACTCCATTAGATGTGGCTGCTGGGAAGCCCCGAGCTGACCTCGTAGCTGACCTTGCCTTTAGTAATGCTGCGGGGTTTTACCGATGCATTTTTTTGTAGCAACTTTTCCTATAGTCTTGTTTTATAATTTGGACCTCTTTTTATTTTTGCATGGATTTATTTATGTATCCTAAATCTTTTTTTTAAGATAGAAAAGTAAAAAATGTCTATTTTACCCTTTAGAAGGACAGAGAGAATGTGTGTGTGAGAGAGAGAGAAAGGGCTAGGAGAGAGCAGGAGACGGCCTGGCACCCTGAAGACAGACAGGGGAGTATCTTACATCTTATTGAACATGTTTTTCTAAGCCACAGTAAATACTTCTGCGAATGCCGTGGTGTGAATTCTGTAGAATAAAGGCACCACGTTGACAATGATAGCCACAGGTGGAGCACTCAGTCATTCCGACTGTCACACAGCCCCTGCTTAGGGAGCCAGAAGAGGAAGCTTATTTTTAAATATGGTAAAATCTATACGTGAGACACTAAGAATGATGCTTTCGTATAAAACCCAGAGATGATGGCATCCTTGCAAACACCCGAGTATATATTTCTCCGTAATTCTGGAAACTGTGATCGTCAATGAAATGAACATTTTCTTATTGCTTGTACCTGACAGTTTGGGGGACAAAAAAAATGCCACTTTATGATGTAAGGTGCCTATCTACAACAGTCCTTGAGGAATAGCTCGGATTCTGTGGCCACTAAAGATAGGGCGGTCGGCAAGGATGGTGACACAGCAATGCCTGTGAGGGGCGGGGCTCCCTCCAGCGCTCCAGCGCTCACACTGCACCCCCCACGCGCCACATAGCCATTGTCTGCCGCGTGGGCTCCTGTTCATGGACACTGTCTTCAGGTCTTCAGTACGCGTGCTGATTTTCTTAGTGTCCAGCTCTGTATAAAATCCTCAGAAAGCCCCTTTGAGGAATTGTTGAATTACATTTCCTTTTTCTTTCATTAGGAAGCTATGTCTGGCATTAAAAAAAAACAAAAAAATAGTAACAATTTCATGGTTTCTCATAAAGGTGTAATTTTGCTTCACACTTACTCATTTATTTTCATGGTGGGGAGAATAACATTGTTTCCCCACAAGAATCATAGTCCATTTTTGGCCTTTCATGTTAGTGATTTTCTCCCTCAGAAAAACTAAAGCAATTTGAGAAGGAAACAATGCAATTTTATAACAAAGCTGGCCTTGTCTTGATAAATGCAGTGATCAATGACCAAAACCACTTAAGTCCTTTTGGGCAAATTGAACAATTCTTTGATTCTATCTGAGAAGTGGAAACACATGAATTTGTGTTCTGGTTTTTGAAATAGCTTCTCCCTTTCCCTTCTTACTTTGACCTAAATTGCCTGAAATTAATGATGCAGATACCCAGGGGCAGAGGCAAGTTTTGTGAGGCTGGAAGCTTCGACAATTTAGGGGGCCCTCTTTAAGAAAAACAATACAAAAATGTCTTACTTTTATAATTTTTTACAAAAACATACAACCATGTGAACATACTGCCCAGGTTCCTCCTGGGCCTTGGAAAAGCCCATGCAAGAGAGATCCCTGGAGCTTAAACTTCATTGACTTTGTGGCCAGTCCGTTTCTGCGGGTCCTATATTATGGTAAACGTCCACCTATACTATGCACACTTGAATTTGCTACTTGCGTACGTGAACTCAGGAATGTAGGTAATGACTATACAGAGACTAAATAGGAATATACAGGTATAAATATAAGAGCACAAGATAACACACTGGGTTTTAAACACGCAAACACACGGAAATATTTTTCCTATTTCTGTTGAGCATCAGCATTTCTAAAGATCACACCCAGGCATGATCTCCCCTTCTCCAGACTTTGAATTGTCTGCCTGCATTTAAATGTTCACTTTAAGGGGGTGGTAAACAATTTAACACATTGTCACTCAGTCAGGCAAGCCGCCTCAAACACAGTTCTCTGCGTTGGACTCATGCTGAGCAATCCCTATTCTAGAAGCCAGGTGTGACAGGCGGGAGGAGGGAAGGGGATGCGGTGGGGTCTGGAGGGGGAGCCACTGCCAGTGGGCAGAACTTGGCTGGTTTTTTGTTTTTCCCCAGGCAGTTCAGATAGTGGTTTGGAGGTCTCCATTGAGGAGGGTCCTCTGGGTCTCCGTGGTCTCATTCAGCCGGGATTTGTCCTGCTTACTGTCACTCCGTTCCCCGTCCTCTGTGCCGCTCACCTTGACCAAGCAGAGGACATTCTGGAAGCTCTTCTTGAAGTTGTCAGACAAGAAGGCATATAGGATAGGGTTGGCACAGCTGTTGGCATAGGTGAGGACCACCACAAAGTCAAACATGCCTTTAAGGGCCGGGGTAGGACTGATGGCCACGGAGACGGAGGACACGTTGAATATGTAGAAGGGGAGCCAGCAGAAAATGAAGACGGCCACCACGATGGACACCATTCGGGTGACCTTCTTCTCAGACTTTTTCCTCTTGGAGGAACCCACTCGGATTCCAGAGGACTTCACCTTGATGATGATGAACAGGTAGCAAAGACAAATGATGGTGAGGGGTACCAGGAACCCCAAGATAAAAGCATAGATAATGAACCCTGTGTACCATGCCCCAGATTCACCTGGCCAGTTGATGGTGCAGCTGCTTCTCCCCCACTGGTTGCTCCGAAGCCCGGCATATATCATGATAGGCAAGATGACTAGCAGAGAGACCCCCCACACAGCCACGTTGACCATCTTGGCTGTCCGGGGTCTCCTCCACTTGGCCGACTTGATGGGGTGAACCACGGCCAGGTACCGGTCGATGCTCATGACCGTCAAGCAGAAGATGCTGGTGAACTGATTGATGCCGTCCACAGTCATGACCACCCGGCAGATGGCCTTGCCAAAGGGCCAGTGGACCAGAGCCACCTGCATAGCCAAGAAGGGCAGACCCAGCATGAAGAGCTCATCTGCAATGGCCAGGTTGAGGATGTAAATGTTGGTGATGGTCTTCATTTTGGCGTAGCGGAGGATGACGTAAATGACAAGCGTGTTGCCACACAACCCAATGATGCAGACCACAAAATATATGAAGGTGAGGACTGCATTGCTTGTCAAGTCATAGTACGGCTCTGTCTGGTTTGAACTGTTGGCTGCCACCACCGAGCCGTTGAAGTCCAGTGGAGGGGACAGCCACGCGTGGCTCCCATTGAGTAGCTCCTCTGCCATATCCATGGCTGCTTTTCAGTCTTAGGCTAGTTCCAGCCAGCCCAGAGATCTTATTCTCATTTTAATGGGCCCTGGAGGCCAAGGATCCACTGTGACATCTGGAAGGAAAAAAGGAAGATTGGCCCATCAGTCACAGGCTACCGAGGCTCTCACCAGCTTTCCACATTTCTGGTTTACCCCCTCAGACATACTCTTTTTTTTTTTTTTTTTTTTGAGACAGAGTCTCACTCTGTTGCCCTGGCTAGAGTGAGTGCCATGGCATCAGCCTAGCTCACAGCAACCTCAAACTCCTGGGCTCAAGCGATCCTACTGCCTCAGCCTCCCGAGTAGGTGGAACTACAGGCACGAGCCACTGTGCCCGGCTTATTTTTTTATATATATATATTTTTAGTTGTCCAGATAATTTCTTTCTATTTTTTTTAGTAGAGACGGGGTCTCGCTCTTGCTTAGGCTGGTCTCAAACTCCTGAGCTCAAACAATCCGCCCGCCTCGGCCTCCCAGAGTGCTAGGATTACAGGCGTGAGCCACCGTGCCCGGCCCAGACATACTCTTAAATTGAAAAATGGGTTATTTTTTCCACATCGACATTAAGCTCTACAGTTCCTTACCAGTGTGCAGACTTTTTGAGTTATTTTTCTGATAGTGGGGAAGGGTTGGGGTTAAGACATCATCTTTGATGACGCACATGTAGGGGATGACTGTGGCTTCCAAAAAAAACACATAGTTTGACCTCTAAGAAGTTGACTGATCCCAACTATAAAAAAGGCAGAGCTTGGGGAAGTTCAGCCCCTGACCGCAGAGGGGTCTGACACTGCTACTCCTGATCTCTTCCCTGAGAGGAAATCCATGCTGACTTCTGACTGCCTTGGAATCTTTCCATTCTGAAAACCCCATAGTGGAAAAACCCCAGACTTCAGAGGTAGAACAAACGCAGCCTCCACTGCTGAGCCCATGTGACCATGTGCCTGGTCCTTAATGGCTCTGACCGTCATTTGTTAAAATGGGGTGTCTCTATGGTCTAATGATGGAATGTATGCGGAAATGCCCAGCATCGTGTTGGGCTCGTAAGTGGAACCTCATAGGTATTATTTTGCCCCCATGTCTTCCTCTATCATCTCATATTCTCCAACTTATTGAAATCTACCTACATAGCGAAGCAAGGTATAGTCTTCAATATTAAAAATAAAAGTCTGGCTTGCTTTCATTTTCAAAATGTATGCTTTAGTGTGTATTTCTGTTTTCCGATACCCAACGCTCTACCTCCTCGCGCCAAGGAGACCGCTTTCCCAAAGTCGCTGAGTGGGGTGCTGCTCCCGAGTGCGTCTAACACCTCAGATCATTTGCCTGCCATTCCCTACTTAAGGCTAAAACCAAGAACCAGGTGTGAGAAGCCAGTTCATTCATAGAAGTGAACAGAAGTTTCCCAGCACTGATAGAGTTCATTCACACCCACCCTTCCCTCCGGTCTTCTCAACCATCCTATGAGGTGGGGATGATGATCCCCATTTTAAAGATGTAGAAACTGAGACTTAGAGAGTTCAAGGAACTCACTCCCGTTCCCTCGTGCACAGTTGGTGGAGCGGGGGTGCGAACGCAGCCCGCCTGGCCCTAAGTCTTCTGCCGTTCAGTGGCCTGGAAACCCAGCAGCTGATAACTGGGCTTTGGTTTGAAGCAACCAACCTGTGTTACCTCCATGCTGAGAAAATAATTTTAACACTATTGGTTTGGCTTAAGATCTGAAACAATAGCTCACTGCATAATTGATTTCTCTACAGCCATTCAAAAAAACATCACGGGGCAGGGAGGTTTCTTTGTGCTGGGCAGCAGGGATCCAGGAATGGACTGAGACAGGGCTGTTCCTGTAGGAGGTAAGAGTTTAGGAGGGAGACAGGCAAGGAAGCCAACTCGTTTGTGGTGCAAACTGCGCAGAGACATGAACAAAGGACTTAAGAATGCCTGCCTTTCCTGGGGGATTCAGGGGAGGCTTCAAGAGAAGAATTTTTAAGCTGGGTCTTGGGGATATGAAGAGTGAGGCAGGAGGACAGGAAAAGAGGTCAGTCCAGGAAGAGGGGGGATGGCCGAGGGATGGTGTGTTCAGCAGAGTGGGAATAATTCACTTGGCTGACACATTTCCTCTGAGCAGGGTCCTTTTCCTGGTTCCTGGGATGAAAGGTTACTCCTTAGTGCTTGGAGAGACTGCAGGTAAGTTACAGGAGACTTAGCCAGCAGCAAGTACTAGAGGATCCTTGCCCACGTTCCTTGCCCACGTTTGCTTCTCTTGCACTCTGTCCTGCTGGGCGCCTGGCTTTTCCTTTCTGCGCTAATTTCCCCACCACACAACTGCCTGTAAAGTGAGGTCCGGGCTGTGTGGCTGACCCCAAGTATTTTGGGGGCCCAGAATTTCATGTCCACAAAGGATAAAAAAAGCATAAACTGGCAGCTACTCAAAACAGAAGGTGTAAAGAAACCGTTCTTAGTCTATCCCCAGATTAACTTGGATTGTTTCCACTATCATCTCTAACCATCTTGACAGTTACTTTAATTCTACACATCCAGGATCCTATTCAAGCTACCTGAATTGGAGTGGACAGTAGTCATTTCCAGGGATGGATTGATAGGGAAATCCCATAGACGGGATGTCTAGAGCCGCATTTATGTAACATGAACAGTCACACTCGATATCTGGGTAAGACTGAGGCCCCCTGGGCTGCAGAAGCCCTGTCTAGAGCTCTAGAGATAAGAATCATGCAGGGGTGAGGGAAGGTGACTGTTCTCTGCAGCCCTAACGCTGCCATTTCCACTAGAATCTCACTGGCCAGGATGGAACTGCTTGGGAGTCGGCAGGAGACAGGGTCAGAGCCTTGGTGGGGGTGGGGAGGGGGGCGGAGGTGGAGAGCCGGGAGCCGGTCCCGAGTGGGAAGGCTACTCCAAGGAAGAAATAAGCTTAAATCATGGGGAGTTTTATTTAACAAAGAAGTCAGCTGCCTAAAGCCTCTCAGTGACTTCTACTTCATTTTTGTCCCAGAGATACTGGATTCCAAAGTCAGGCAGTCGATACTTGCTCAGCTGTGGTTAAATTAAATGTACAAGGAAGTTTGATTTTCTGCATTCTTTATTTTTCCAGCCCAAGAATTGTTAGAGACTGGAAATGGCTGGTGGTTCTTCTCCTCCCGGAGGAGTGCAGGCTCGGTTAGAGAGGAGGGCGAGAAGGTTCTCAGCACCCTCTCCCCTTCCCAGAGGGGCTGTGGTTAGCAGCCTGAGAAACAAGTGTTGGGATGGGGGCCAAGCATCAGGGTGGGTCCCAAATCCCGCTCGGCTCCAGTTTCTCCCGTCTCCCCAGCATCTTTCCCCCATTCAGTTCCCACCCCTGCCTCCCTGGAGGCCTGCGGAACCCTGCTTAGTCTCCCTGCGGCTGGAGCGTGAGCCCCCTCTGGCAGGGTGACAAAAGGCTCCTGCGGGCCACCGAGGCGCCCTTTGCGCCTGGGAGAAGCGCCCGGCGGGGCGCTGCCCGAAGGGGATGGGGGAAAGCGGGGACGAGTCTCAGGACCGCGGAGTCAATGCTCCCCGCTGGCGCAGAAAGTCCTCCGCCTGGCCATCCACCTCGCTGGTCCTCAGAGCGAGGGTTTCCCAAAGGATTCCATGTCAAGTCCAAGAAGAGGAGGGGAGAGTGAAGACGTAGCGCCAGCACGCCCAGTCTCTAAACGCAGAGGGGGGCTGAGGCGCCAGGGACAGCCAGGAGCGGACGACAATCACTTAGGGACCTGGCTGGCGGCTCTCGGGCACTGGCACGGGCTATTCAGCCGTTGGGTCTCTCCAAACCTAGACAAACTGTCCTCTCTGCCGTGGGGCGGCGGGTTGGGGTGCCCGGCTGGGCGAGGAAGAAGGGAGAGAAGCCCCTCTCCTCCGCTCCTCGCCAGCCATCTGTCTGCCCCTCGCAGGCTCCTATCTCCGGATGCGCTTCCCGCAGGCGCCCCGGGGCACCTACCACATCCCCCCACCGGCCTTGCGGGCCTCACGCCGCCCGCTGGGTCTCTTTTGCAGGCAGCTGGGAGAGAAGTTGTCCCCGTCGCAGCTACCACCCGGACACTCCGGCTTAAAGGCACACGCCACGCACACGGCATGAAGCTGTGCGGACACGTCCGTTCCAGCACACGCTACCCACAGCCCCCCACTCATGCTGGGACATCAGCTGTCATCCATTCCTACTACCGTCACCCGCTAAAAGGCACAAGAGCTGAGAAGCGTGCACCGGGACCGACACCCGGGCACACCGATGGGCGCACCACCATCAGCGCAGATGCACACAGGTGCCCAAGTGCGCTTCTCGCTCCCTCCATCTCTCTGTCTCTGTCACTCTCGGTCTCACACACGCACACACACACACCTCACCTTAGCTTTTCCGCTGCAATCCGCCAGCTCGGCTCTCTGGCACCCAGCGACTGTCCCTGACCCAGCTGGGCGCTCGGGCGCGCAGCAGCTTGGCCGTCGCCTGGCGCTCGGGGCTCCCGGCTTCTCAGCCCCCTTTTGCCAGCCCCTGGCCCGCAGAGCCCTGGCGCCGGCGCCTAGCCGCCAAATGGGGCTCTGGGCGCGGGTGGCCTTCCGAACGCGAGCGCACGCAGGTGGCTGCGCCGCTTGGACTGGCCCCGCCGGCCCGGGCCCCTCGGCACATTTCCCCACGCCCCGCTCCCATTACGTCACTGCAGCTTCGCTCCGCCCGCCGGGTCCGGCAGGAGGACGGGGTGAGACGGGTGGAGAATCCTGCGGGTGGCTACCGGCAGAGCTTGCAGGCCCCCGTGAGAGGACAGAGGGGACCCGCATGCGGGGGCGTGAAAGTTTCAGCGATTTCGGTGGCTCCAAGACTCATGGCGAGGACACGCGCTGCTTTCCCTCGGATTTCACAGAACCGATTTCTTTTCATCCAGCATATTCCAGACAGCTGGAGTGGCGGCTGGGACAGGCTTGTTCTGGGACCTCTGCGATTTTCTTAGCCAGAGAAGTCTGCAAAGCTGTGTTTACCCTGGGCCAGCCCCAGTCGCGGGGCCACGGAAAAAGAAAGGGTAGGGAGAAAAAGGGTTCGTGGGGACAGCACTTCTCCATGCAGTCGCCAACG